CCTGCCCCGCGGATGGGAGAAGCCAGCCGCCGGCTGGCACCGCCGCACCCTCTCCGCACCCTCTCCGCGGGAAGAACAAGGAGACAGGAAGCCGCGGCTATGTAAACGATTTATTAAGAGAAGAGGCCTGCGGACTCATTTCTTCTTGGACACACCCACGGTGCGGCCCCGGCGCCCAGTGGTCTTGGTGTGCTGGCCGCGGACTCGAAGGCTGCGGGGAAAGGCCACAGGTCACTCGGACACTTTGGAAAAGGGACCGGCGCAGCCCCAAGCGGCCTCTACTCACCCCCAGAAGTGGCGCAGCCCCCGGTGCGCTCGGATCTTCTTCAGCCGCTCCAGGTCCTCGCGGAGCTTGTTGTCCAGCCCGTTGGCCAGAACCTGGATGCGCAGGCGGGGGTCGCGGGCTTTACTCCTGGCCCGGTGCACCGGGTCCCCCACTCCAGAGCCCCGCCCCACACACCTGGCTGTATTTCCCGTCCTTCACGTCCTTCTGTCTGTTCAGGAACCAGTCTGGGATCTTGTACTGCCGTGGGTTCTGCATGATGGTGATCACGCGTTCCACCTGCAGGCAGGACGGTCAGCCCCAGGCGCCGCGATCCCAGGGCCGGCCCCAGCCCCTTTCCCCGCCTCACCTCGTCCTCAGTGAGCTCCCCAGCCCTCTTGGTGAGGTCGATGTCTGCTTTCCTCAACACCACATGAGCGTATCTTCGCCCCACACCCTGAAGTTAAGAGGGGAATCAGGCTTGAATCTGATCTTTCCTATAACTAACCTCGCTGTTCAAAAACGGTAGAAGCTGGAAGGATCAAGCCCTTCCCCGTTTCCCAAGTCATCTCCCCTCCCCCAGCTTTCTAGATAGGTAGCCTAACCATAGCAGCTGAGGCCAGCCCGAACTACTGTGTACCACGGGAGGCTCAAAAACCAAGACAAAATTTTGCTCTGGGTGAGGCCTGACCCAAACCAGAAATGCAGCATCCTAGAAGTGGGGCCCTTTCCCCGCAGCTGCAAGTGCCTTGGCATTTCCGCCTCGTGAAGAATGGCCCATTTGGCCAGGCTGAGGCAGCAACAGAGGGTCCTCTGTTCGTTGTCCGGATTTCTCAGGGCCAGTTCTTTGGCCAAGTCACCAGTGACTGAAATTTCCCATCATCATCACAAACGACTGTCAACACACAGAAATGATGCATAACCCAGGGACCTAATGAACTGCTCTGCTCAAGTCATACTCAAAAGTTTGAATTAATGCTCATTGTCAGTGATGACACCACTACAGGCACCCGTCTCCTGAACTCATGAACCAAGCTTTGGTTAAGAAAGAATGGTGAACTGGCTCGGTGGTGTGTGATCCCAGCAGACCAGGCTACTTACAGATATCCTGTCTCGAAAATAAAAGGTCAGGGGACGTAGTGCAGCACAAAGGCTGTGGAGCTCAATGCCCAGTGTCTGCTGGGTAAATGCTCCCTTCTCCCTACCCATGCTCATACCACCCTTGCGGCATAACTTTACATTCTGCCAAAACAAGTAGGTCCCACTCCAGTAGGGGCCCCAAATCCAGCGACTGGCGACCTGAGCCACACAAGGGAAAGCATAGTGGTGGCAGATCCAAGCCAAGAGCGGAGGACAATTACCAGCAGACAGGAAGAAACAAGGCAGGGCTCCTGGTGCCTTCACACTGAGCATGCTTCTACTGACATCCTGACTTTTGACCTCAGAGCTGCGAAGGAATTTCTGTTGGTTGACTCAGGATACCAGGGTGTCTCCCTCAAGTTTTCTTACACACAAACTGTATGCCTGACAGTTACTTCAGACTGGGAATAGGTGTACACAAAGCAATTTGGGTTTTTTTTTTTTTTTGAGATAGGGTCTCACTATGTAGTTGAGACTGAACTGGAACTCACCATGTAGCCCAGGTTGGTCTTGAACTCACAGCAATCCTCCTGCCTCAGCCTCCCAAGTGCTGGGATTACAGGTGTACACCACCACACCTGGTCTTAACTTTTCTTTTTTCTTTTATTTACCTTCTGGTACAGGATCTTGCTGTTAACCAAGCTGCCTGCAAACTCATAATACTCCAGAATAGCTGGTAGCAGAGGTATGTGCTTGGCCAGACATGTACATACCCATGGGGGTTACTTTCTCACATTTACAATCTAAGGGTCCAATCTTGTTATAGAAAAACCAGTAACAACTCTGTGTACAAAGGTTTTTTTTTTTTTTTTTTTTTTTTTTAGTACCAGGAATGGAACTCAGGGCCTGGCACTTGCCAGGCACACACTGTGGAGCTACATCCCTGAGTGGTGATTTGGCAGGACCAGAGTTCCTCAATAAGGACTTTGAGCACTTACCAGGTATTTATTTACCAAGCCCAAACTCACTCTCATGTTTACAAATAACCCATTAATACCAGTTATGTTCAGAGGTAGGGTGGGAAGACCAGCCTTAAAGAATACAGCACAATCAACTCAGTACACTATTTCTTTTCACTTTCAATATATAAAGAACAAAATAAAGACAAGCATTGCAAGTTTAAAAGGAAACAAACAAACAAAAAAACACAGTGTAAACATGGGAGACAGTGGTGGCCCTGAGGCAGGAGGATCACTGGGGCCAGCCTGGGCTAGAGTGAGCTCAAGGTCAGCCGGAAGCCCAAAGTGAGACTGTTCTCACACACACACATACCCCAGGCCTGTAATCCCAGCACTCTGAGAAATGGAGGCAAAAGCATCAAGACTTCAGCCAATTAAGTTACGCAGGCAGACCCTATCTCAATCCAACATCCAGGACACCATGAACATAGAGCTTGATCTGTGCTGACTCACCCCCCCCCAGTCACTAAACTTTAAGGCACTTTCTTACCACCACTTGGCCACCTCCTTGGAGGAATCCGCCCAGCCAATACTCAACCTTTTCCCTTCTCCATCTCCTTTCTTTTTTATTTGAGACAGGATCTCACTGTATAGTTGAGACTGACCTGGAACTCACTATGTAGCCCAGGCTGGTCTCGAACTCACAGTGATCCTCCTGCCCCACTCCGCCTCACCAGTGCTGGGATTACAGGTGTGCACAAGCACGACCGGTCATCTCCTTTCAATTTTTCAGCCCTCAAAAGCTTTGCTTCTAGCACAACTAAAGAGATGTCTCTGCTGACTTCACACAACTAGCGAAAACCTTAGCATGCACCAAAGCTAGGGAATGGCCTTTCCCAGGAATAAGCAGGACATCAGGAACCCCAAGAGATGCTACCTCAGGCCCTCATCATGTACCCAAATGTGCCTGGTTAAACTGCTTCTGAGTCACCCCAAATAACAAACACTACTCAACTTTAAAGAGGGAGGGGACAGGTGCAGCACTCACAAACCATGCTCATCCTTTCTACTACTTCATTATCTCCTGCCTGCCTTACAGTAACCTTTAGATAGGCGCTGTACTTTGCAATGCCTTCTTAGTTCCAGTGTCCAACAGAAAAAAGCAATCTTCCTCCAAACCACCTGAAAACAAGTGAAAGTTGTTTCCTGCAGTACAGAGTGAAGTGAGCATAACAAACTTTATCCAAGCTATGCTTTACCCTGTAAATTATCTTGGGGGGGGGGTTGGGACAGGAGTCTCACTATGTAGACCGACCTGGAACTCAGGCTGATCTCAAACACACCGCAACCCGCCTGCCTCAGCCTCCCAGAGTGCTGGGATTACAGGCATGTGCCACCACGCCCGGCTTATAAATTATCTTTTGACAGACACCAATCCTGTGTGAGCTTCCTCCAACTAAATGGGCTCCCTTTATTTTATCCCCCGTATGGAAAACTTAGCACAGTATCCCTAGTATCACCCAGTCCCCAACACTGTGGAGCACCTACCAAATATCAGAGGCAGGGGATGGTCATAACACAGGTCCAGCCCTACCCCATGCAGTGTACAAGACTGCTTTCCAATTATCTATTTTGATTAAAAAAATAACCCCCTTGTGGAAGGCCTGGATTTCCCTTGCTTTGTGAAGTGAAACATCCAACTTCGCATCCACAATTTCAATATCAAAAAGCCAAAACCAATGCTGGTCTCCACTTCAACAGCAAAGGAGCTCTAACATCTGAGTCAATGCCCTGCTCGCTCTGCCCTACTTCATCACACTTGGGATTTGTCGACAGTTCTCCTCACCCCAAGATGTATAGAAAGCACCCAAACTTTAGCGAACATGCCTTACAACAAGGGTTGCTGTTACGATGCCCTGGAGGAGACAGACGGGGAGAAACCGAATCTAGAAAGGACCTTCCGAAACTGACGGGTTAAGAAAATC